TCCATGAATCCGAAGATTCCCTCCTCGTCTTTAGTATAATGACTAGTTTTGCCACGTATAGTAAACCAGTCCAGAATAGTGCATCGTACCGCAATCATGCTCAAACGCTTGACATACAGCATCTCTAGCCGTAATAAATTAAAAAAAAAAATCAGTTTCATCCGATCCTCCTTCATTCTCACCTCCAGCACGTCGATCGCCTCTTTGATTCGATGGATCTCGGCATGATTTTGGAGTAAATTTTCCTCCTTTAGATCGCCCTCGTCGAGAGCTTCCGGTTCCGCTACGGAGTAACGAATGCATACCGAGGATGGACGCAAAAAAATTATAATAAAATAACGAAATTACAAGGAATTTTACGGTTGAATTTTGGGCACATTAAAAATTTATTATTAAATTAATTATTGGAAAGGAGGAATAATAAATTTCGTTTTTAACGATACAATTATCAATGATAATTAATTTGATGAGATCAAATTTGTTCGACAAAAATCATTTTTTTTATTTTTAAGATGCTTAGCTTAACAAGCCCCCTTTTTTATTGTACATTTCTCATATACCATGATTTTCGTTGTGATTTTATGGTAGGGGTAAGAGAGGCATAGTGAACAAGTGGGGCATAGTGAGCATCCCATGCCTCAGCTTGGTCTTCCGGCCGTTCGGAACAAATTGGTTGGTGGTAGCCTTATACATTTTATGAATAATCAGCAATGGAAATTTGCCAAAATGTATAAGGGGATTTTTATCAGTGCTGGCATCGGTAGCATTGGTGCTCAGTACGGAAAACCAGATCGACGAAAAACAAATCAAAGGAAAAAAAAAAGAAATGAGATTAACAGAACTTTATCTGTACAAGTTCAGAAAAAGTTTCATATTTTTGAATTTCCTGCAGAGTTTTAAACTTTTTTCGAACAGTCCGCAATTCAAAAACCCAGTAAAACATTACTGACTGGATTAATGTGTATATGTTATGTGCAGCTTATCTGCTGTAATATTCAACAACTTTTTTTTTACTGTTTCCCTAATAAAAAACTACCATACATGAACGAAAACCCAAATAATAAAACTATTCAACAAATGGTTTGGATGATACCCCGAACACGTCGTTAAGCAAAATAACCATAACAATTATTAGGGTTGGTTTTCAATTTCAGATTGAATTCCAATTTCCCATTTGCATCGACGTAAAAACTTGCCACAGCTTGTTAACCGAGCTTGTGCTGCATAGGTGGAAGAGATTACTCCGTTGAAAACTTCATCTGCATGATAGCTGGAAAGTTTGATAACTGGTACTTGTCGATGACGATGATCTCGTCTAATCAACCAATTCGACAGGGACATCCACTACCCGCACCCGTACCGGAAAATGTTTTGAATGATGAATAAGTAGAGGCTGAGCAGTCGAGGCAGCAAGAGACAAAAGCGTGACATCAAATCCTATGTCCCGATCGATTCGTACAGAAGTTTCAATGCGCCGCCTGTTCGGAAAGGATTCCCCGTGACATGAGCGAGCGTCACTACGCGAAGCATGCCGGCCATACCTATCGGGTTGATATCGATCCAGTGATCGATCTGTACGACGAAACTACTGCCACGGCGATTGTAATCCGCTCCATGAAAGTGCAGCAGCAAGTGACGATCTACTGCGACAAATGCAACGTGCCTAAGAAATCGGCTTTCAGATTAGTATTCCACCGGTTGGTTTGGCAAACACGACCAGTACTCGCACTGTCTGGTTCTGCAGAATAATAAGAAGAAGCTGGAGCAAACAAAACTGATATCCGGCAGCTTGGGTGGATCCTTCCAGTTCCGCTACGGAGGAGTGAATGTATACCAGCATACCGAGTATGGCCGGGTTCTGTTTGGCGTCCAACAACGATGTCTGTCTTCTCGGTCGCGAATGACTGTGACTTAGGCTTCTACACGGACTGAAGAAATCTGTAGCAACAATTGCAACAAGCGCGAGTCATTGACAGCTCAACATCGTTTACTTGTAAGCAAATGTTAGCCCGATGTGTTCATCCCTAATCATTTTGGCCTATGGTCTTTCATTATACAAAAGAAGCGATATAATGACATGCTGTTTGACAACAGGCTCTCCCTTTCAATTTTCGTTAGAGAAAAAGAGATAACAGGCGGTACCCTGGGGGGGGGGGGGGATGTGCTGTCAAATCAGCCTACTGATCATCTTGTATGAAACTGGTTCCAAACGTAAACAAACGCTGTAGGTTTCTTATGGCTTGTTTACGTTTGGAACCAGTTATGCGAGGTAGGCGACGATTGTTCGTATTTGACAGCCACCTCCCCCCCTTGGCGGTACCCCCTAGTTTAATCTAGTACATATGAGTAGATAGTGTTGCCGTGAGGTACACTCGAAAATTGAAAATGTAAGTGCGTCAAATCAAATTTCGAGCCGCTCCGTCTGTCACTTCGTTTGTGCTAATAGCATAGAGGTAACTCTAAGACCACTGGGTCCCGAAGAAAATCATTATTATTTTTGGCTCACTCAGTACCAGAACAACGGTTCCAAGCAGTCCCAAGCTATTTCACTCACCCCTGCATGTTCTGCATGAATCCACACACCCCTGATGTTATCTGTCAAACTTTCATAGCGAATCAAAACAAACATAGTGTAGTAATAGAATTTTTAACTAGAATAGGGTACGTTAATCGTTTGCTTGGGACCAATAGGCTACTAAAGTAGTGAGCCAATTTAAAATCGTTAGTTTCGTATTGATTGTTGCTAATAGTACGTTCAGACTACAGAGTTATAACATGTTATAGCGCTATCTTGATGGTGGTTTCTGTGTTGCAATTATTTGACAACCGTTATAACATGTTATAACTCTCCAGTCTGGACAGCGTTTAAACTTAAAAACTGACAGCTCGCTCCCATACAAAGTGACACCGAGAGGTGCTAATTAGGTGATTTTTGGAAATGTAATCGTACTTATTTAAAATAGTTCCAGTGTGCTAAAATTGATGAAATTTTGGGTTTGGGTTCCATTTTTAATGCAGATTACGAATATGCATTTACCTCAATACCCTTAATTACCCAATTCTCGATGAAAATTTCAAATGGTCTTATCTGCTTTGATCGATTCTCTTCATCGACTTTCTCTTTTCATAACCACTGCTATGCAAACAGATTTCGCGCTAATTCTACCACATAGTTTGATAAAGAAGGTTCTTATCTAGCGTCCAAAACGTCAAATACAACAGGGAAAGGTTTTGCAGCTGAGTTATTAACGAAAGAGAAAGTCGATGAAGAGAATCGATCAATGCAGATAGGACCTTTGGAAATGTTTATCTAGAATTGTCTACGCAGGGGGAGGGAGGGTCAAGAATTAAAAAAAAAACATGTCTACGCAGTTAATGAGCAGCCCCTAAGGAGATTTCTATCCGTGTATGCTCCACTGGCAGGGGTAATATCATAGAGGTAACTTTAAGACTAGTAGGTCCCGAAGAAACGTGCTCAACTTTTTGGCTCAGCTCTGGTACTCTCTTCGGACCCAAGCTAATCGATGCACCCCTCGAAAGATAGGAAATCCACGAACCCCTCATTTTATCTGTCAAATTTTCATAGCGAATCAAAACAAACATTGTGTAGTAGTAGAATTTCGACTAGAATGGGGTACGTTAATCGTTTGCTTGGGACCAATAGGCTAGTCAAGTAATGAGCCAATTTAAAATCGTTAGTTTCGTCACAGACAAACAGACGTAACTCTTCATTGTGTATCTTCGTTCACGCATTTAACGGTTGATTTGAATATTATCAGTTCCGCGAACTACTCGCCGCAGCGCTGGCATCGGATCACTTTGACGTTTCTATACATTCTATAGAACTTTTATGCAATATTGTTTGCGAGTTAGCGAGCAAGCTTGTTTTCCGCGAGAAGCCTGAAAGATGTCGCTACTGATGTCCTATGTTTTGAGATACTATGTTTTCAAGAAAAACTTTTTCAAAGAGTTACGTCTGTTTGTCTGTGGTTTCGTGTTGATTGTTGGTAATATGCACCGCTTCGTAAGTGTTATGCTTTTTGCTAGAAGTTATGTAGGTTTTATACATTTATGCGCTATCCGTACGTTATTATTACGGGCAATTGACATTTAAGTTGCATTTAGAACACCTGTGTAAATGTAAAAAAAATAAAATGAAGCAGAACAAAATAACATTGACGAGGGGAGCGTCATATCTAAATCGCAATTCTAGATGCTCGAAAAATCTCACACTATCGAATCAATCTACGAAAAATCTTCTTTCATGCCTCGCATCTACTTGCATCGAGCATCATCTGTTTGCAGGAAATCTTCAGAAACGTCACCAACATTCTTTTTAACTACTCAGCGTGCGCGCAACTAACCAGAGCAAAACAAAATATTTCCTGCATCATAGATAGAGTCACCCCCCTCGAACATTGATCAAACTGTTACACCAACCGATAAGACGGAATAATTTTTAACAAGTAGAATAACAAAATCTACCCGACGGCTCTTACAAACCGTTGAGCAAATCTTACATCAAAAATGAGTGTAATTTTTATAATTTTTGTGTGAGCAGAAGTAGAAAATTTTTAGATTAGAATATCATTTAACCCCTAAATGGTTGGTGCAATAAAAAGTCGATCAAAGTGGCTATTAAATATCGTGGTGGTGCGTATTACCCCACCATTTTCCCCTATCACCAATTACCAATGCCATTCAAGACTATTCGACCTGATGCTTCTTTTGTTTGAGCTCCACAGGTTACCGTTTCCATAGCAACGACGGTTACGATAGAAACCAGCATGTAAACATAAATGCAGTAGCGTTGCTATGATGACACGTGCTCTTCATAGCGATTAACGTGTTGATCCACGGAAACCACCTGTTAGATTGTGTTTGGGCTTTTAATGTTTACATGTGTTTTTTTTTACCGAATTTATAACCATGGATACAGTTGTCACAAACAATGGAATATGACAGTTTTGTAAATAATTGTGGAAAAATCGATTATTTTCTGGTAAAGCAGAATTCTGTGAGACGTAATTAAGAATTTTGTGTGTGAGAAATGCAGCTGAAATTCATGAAAACTGTTGTTGAAGCGCAAGTAAGTGCATTACATCGTTAGATAACGAAGTTGAAGTCTTAATGGAATTATCGCCTTCGAGCAGGACTATCTGTATCGCGTGGCCGGACTAACTTGGTCACCGAACAACCAAAAGCTTGCGGTGGCTACTGCGGATCGAACGATTCTACTGTTTGACGAGAACGGCGAACGACGGGACAAGTTCTCGACAAAGCCCGGTGATCCCAATGCTGGCAAAAGTTCCTACGTCATTCGAGGGATTGCGTTCAGCCCGGACTCGAGTAGGCTGGCTGTGGCGCAAAGCGATAATATCGTTTATGTGTATAAGCTGGGCGAATCATGGAATGAGAAAAAGGTCATCTGCAATAAGTTTCCGCAAGGTGGTGCTGTAACTTGCATCACATGGCTGTCGGGTGGAATGATCATCGCTGGGCTCGAAGACGGTAAGGTTCGGTCGCTGCACTGTAAGAACAATAAATCGAAGACATTGTATGGGGCGGAAAGCTTTGTAGTATCGCTCGCTCCGAATGCGAGAGGAACTGGGCTTTTGTCTGGGCACGACGATGGATCGGTAATCAAGTTTTACATTATTGAAGAGCCTGGTGAAACTTCCGGTAGGATCCTGCAGCATCCGGTAGCTCCAGTGTCGTTGGCATGGCCTCAAAGTGGTGTACTGGTAGGAGGATGTGACAAGAAGATTTGCTTCTACGACACCATAGGTCGGTTGACTCGTACATTTGACTACACTAGAGATGATACGGAACGGGAGTTTACGATCGCTGCCTCTAGCCCTAATGGGCAAGCTGTGGCAGTTGGTAGTTTTGATAGAATTCGTATTTTTACTTGGAGTCCTAGGCAGAATACGTGGGCTGAGTCCCTTTGCAAGAGCATTCCAAATTTGTACACGGTGACGGCTATTGCGTGGAGAAAGGATGGCTCCCGGTTAACGGTAGGATCGCTATGCGGAGCTGTATTGGCTTATGAGTCGGTCTTGCGTCGCACGATCTGGCAGGATAAGTTTGAGTTAACCTTCGTTGCTCCAAGTCAAGTTTTGCTCAAGTCACTTCATGAACCCTCGAATACCATGATCGTTGAGTCTCAGTTGGGGTTGGAGATTGATGACGTACGAATAATGGGAAAGGATAATTACTTGGTCGGGCGAACTGAAGATTCGCTTATTCTATGCGACCTTATTCGTTCTTTGACCAGTGAAATCCCCTGGATTGCGACTGGTCGTCACGAGAGATTCTACTTTGAAAATCCTACGGTTGCACTGATCTTCAATGCCGGGGAGCTCTCCCTGATAGAATACGGAGAAAACTACATCCTGGGTTCCGTCCGCACAGAATTCGTCAACCCACACGTTATTTCAGTTCGTCTGAACGAACGCGGAAATACAACAAACAACAAGAAACTTGCTTATCTTCTGGACATGAAAACCGTTTGCGTAGTAGACCTGATCTTGCAGTCAACGATAACTCAGATAACTCATGATTCCAAGATAGATTGGTTGGAACTGAGTGAAACCGGTCACAAACTACTGTTCAGAGACAAAAAGATGCGCCTTCTGTTGGTAGATATCATGAGCGGAAAGAAGCAGACACTGCTGGCCAAGGTGGCGTTCGTTCAGTGGGTACCCTCGAGTGATGTCGCCGTAGCGCAGAGTGACTCTAACCTGGCCGTCTGGTACAACATTGATCTGCCGGAGCACGTGACGATTCTACCGGTTCGGGGAGATGTGTTTGACGTGATCCGGGAAGATGGAAAAACTGAAGTCCACACAAGGGAGGGAGCATCCGAACATGTCTACAATCTGGATGAAGGTTTGGTAGAGTTCGGAACAGCCGTTAATGATAGCGACTTTGGTAGAGCAATTTTCTATCTGGAGTCCCTTGGGGATAAACCTGCAGCGAAGGCAATGTGGCATAACCTAGCGAATATAGCGCTGGCTCAACAGAATCTGCGAGTGGCTCAACGGTGCTTTGCGGCGTTGGAAAATGCATCCAAGACATTCTACATTGGGGAGATGATTACGATTTCTGAAAAGTATGAGGAAAGCACCGGGAATCCAGGTATGACTTGTCCGGAGGTGAGAGCTAGGATGGCTCTGCTTGGTGGAGATTTGAGGTAAGATGAATTGATGTCATGAGTTGATTTTCAACGACAGCACTTTTTTTTTCAGGTCTGCCGAGAGAATCTACATCGAGCAAGGTGACATCGATGCAGCATTGGACATGTACAAGAAGCTTCGCAGGTGGGACGATGCTATCAAGCTAGCCGAACGTCGGGGATATCATGGATTGAACGAACTGAAAGAGCAACAAATGGAGTTCCTGCTGAACACGAATCAAGAGGAGAAAGCAGGTGAGGTATTGGAGGAACGTGGTGAAAAGGACAAAGCAATGACATTGTACATGAAAGCCAACAAACCGGTAAAGGCAGCAAAGTTAGCCCTCAAAACGCCACATCTCTTGTCCAATGAGAATATTGTGTCAAGAGTGTCTGCCTCGCTGGTCAAGGCTGAATTGTTCGAGCTGGCAGCTGAATTGGCTCACCGAACAGGTCAACAGGAAAATGCCATAGCTCTATACCGGAAAAGGAGGAGCTTACGCTCGGGCAATCGACCTCGCTCGCTTTGTATCACCGGACGCGGTGACCAGTTTGGAAGAGGAGTGGGGGGATTGGTTGGTTTCAAAGCGCCAGCTTGATGCTTCGATTAGTCATTACATTGAAGCTGGCTGCACGGTCAAGGCTCTGGAAGCAGCTGTTGGAGCGAAGCAGTGGCGTAAGGCCGTTCAAATTGCCAAAGTTGTCGACGATCCTGAAGAGATACGTAAGTATGCAGTTGAGCTAGCTGAACATCTGTGTCTGATTGGAGATGTAAAAACGGCTGAAGACTTGCTGGTCAGAGCCGAGATGTACAAGGAAGCGATCAATCTTTTGAACAAGCACGGACAATGGGAGAAGGCATTTGACATAGCAGAGAAGTATTTGAATACGGATGACGTGCGTGACATGTTTATCGATTTGGCAAAAGGTCTTGAGAAAGACGGAAAATATCGAGACGCTGAGAAGGTGCTTCTCACCATCAACGAACCGGATATTGCCATCAACATGTACAAAGAGCTAGAGTTGTACGATTCTATGATTCGGCTTGTGGAGAGATATCATAAGAATTTACTGGAGCAGACTCATGCTTCGTTGGCTCGTCAATTAGAAAGCAAAGGTCGGTTGAAGAACGCTGAGGTTCATTTTCTGGCTGCAGCGGATTGGAAAGCAGCCGTGCACATGTACTGCAGTGCCAACAAGTGGGAGGAAGCTCATCGCGTAGCCAAACAGAAGGGTGGCGAAGGAGCTTCGGACCAGGTTGCGTTCATGTGGGCTAAGTCGCTTCCCATTGAAGGAGCTGCCAGACTTCTTACCAAGATGAACCTGATTGATAATTCGATTGCGTATGCTTGTGAGGCAGGGCAGTTTGACTTTGCTTTGGAGCTGTGCAAAGCTAGTGGCAAACCAGCGGATGATGTACACTTGAAGATTGCAATGGCTCTGGAAGACGATGGAAAGTTCACGGAAGCGGAAGCTGAATTTCTGTTGGCGAACAAACCGAAGGAAGCCATCATGATGCATACTCACAGCGGTGACTGGAAGTCTGCTCTACGCGTAGCGGAAAAGTATCTTCCCGAAGCAGTCAAGGAAGTGCTGCTCAGCCAAGCTGCTTCTGCATTGGAGTCACGGAATTATCCGGAATATGAAGCACTGATGATCAGAGCTGATCGACCGGATTTGATTTTGGAACACTATAAAGAGTACAACATGCTTAATGAAGCGTTGAGGGTCGCTAAAGATTATGTTCCTTCTGCTTTAGCGGAGATTCAGAAAATGTATGCCAAGGCGAATCGTGGAAGTGCATCTAACGATTCGAGATATCTTCTTCAAAAGGCCTCCGAGTGTGCAAGAGCCGAAGAGTTCAAGAAGGCTACGGAATGTCTGCTGCAGATCAACGATGGCAATGCCGATGAAGCAACCGTGGGAAGAGCATTGCTTCGTGCAGCTGAAATCTGCAACCAGTTTTTGGAAGGTCCTGATGCGATGGATATTGCTCGTGAACTTGGACCGCGTTTAATTGAAATCAATCAAATTGGACCTGCAGCTCAGCTGTATCTGGCTGCGGAGCTCCCCCGTGAAGCAGTTGATGTATTTATTAAAACTGATAACTGGAACAAAGCTCGTCGACTTGCGAAGGAAATTGATCCACAGTTGGTTGCTTACGTGGAGTCTCAGCAGAAATCACGTTTGAGAAACCAAGGCAACGTCGAACAGTTGGCCGATATCGACATCATGGGAGCTTTGGATTTGCTGGCCGAACAAGGTCAATGGACGCGCTGCATCGAAAAGGCTAAGCAGCATAGCGTTCCTGTTTTGCAAAAGTACTTGGCCCAATACGCCGCACAGCTGATCCGTGATAGTGATTGCATTGGTGCTCTGAACCTATATCTGGAGCATGGAGTACCACCTGTAGCGCAGAACTTCAACATCTACAACCGCATCGCACTGGAGTGCTTCGCTTTGCGTGAACCCGATGGGGTCCAGATTTGGAAGAACCTTCGGAACTTTCTTCTAAATTTGGTCCAAGCTTTGCGTGGTTCGGACCAGGCTGAAGCTGACGTGATTGACCGGTTCGAGCAGTTGCTGATGATTGCTCACTATTTCTGCACGAGAGCAGCATGTCGTCAAGCACCCGCCTTGCAGTCGATTGCCGTCAAAATCTCCGTTGCGATGCTGCGTCATACGGATATCATTCCATGTGATAAGGGATACTACGAAGCTGGTATGGATCTGCGAGGAATGGGTCGTGAGTCGGAGGCGTTCGTTATTCTTAACCACTATCTGGACGTTTGCGAAGCGATCGAGGAAGGTTCTGGCAACCTGGTCGATCACTCTGACCTCTCGTGCACGGATTTCCCCAGCTCGGTGCCGATACCGGCTGAGCTGCACCTGAAGAATGAGCAGGGCTTGCACGAGGAAGTCCGTGAATGGGTGTTGGCCGTCAGCATGGACCAGAAGGTCGATCAGGTACTGCCGACCGATGATCGCAATCTGTACGAGTCCAGTTTGGGTATTTCGGACCAGGCTTGTTTGGTTAGCGCTTATCCGGTGATGGGGCGACAGCCGGTGGTGTTTCAGCGCACTCACCGCTTGGCGAACAGAGATGCCTGGAGTAAGCTTACGGTTGCGGCCAGGATGGCACCGCAGACGGATATTCCAAATGTGATTGAGTTCATTGAAAAGTGGTGTGGACCGGCGAATTTTCTGTCCGGATAAATTAATGCCCGAAAATAGTCACCTATTTAGTGTTGCGAATAAATAGACGTGTGATACACTGATTTAGTGGTAATTTATGATGAGAAACTTCCCGATTTCAAAAGTCCGCTGCATACCACCCTAACTCGTCACGAGCCGTAATCAGCTGGCTACAGCACTTCTGCGACACATCCTCTCCCATTACACGTCCTTCCTGTGTATGTATCTACCTTCATTTAAGTCATCGTGTTCCTGCTGTGCTCTATTTTCCGACTGTAATAGTCTGCCGCTGTACCGATTTCAATATATTTGTGTGGGTGGAAAAGCCTCATGCTACATCCATGTCCGTTCAAAGGGAAAAGCGAAAGCATAATAATGGTACACGGCCGTCTCCTTACCACCGACCGTTGCCCCAAGCGACTACACAGTCGGTTCAGGTTGGATGCTGGCAGTCAGTCGTCGTCGTTAGAAATGGTTGAGAACAACAAAGAGGAAAAGTCGACAACAACAAAAACATCGGGCCACTGCTTGCCAGGAAGGGTATTTTTAGTTTGAAACAGGAGACGGGAGTTCCGGAGATTGTGGGGTTTCTCATGGTGAGATGAGTTGCACATGGAGAGCGTAGCAAAAACAAAAGAAATACGAGTGGGAGAGAGAGATGATGGCGCATGTCACCTGTTGCGAAGGCCTATCACGGAAGCTGTATGTTTGTTTTGTGAGTTGTAAATCGGTACCGTCTATGTCGAGATGGATGACCGGAGCAGGGTGGGTGTAATGACCAAGCAACGTGTTTTGCTTCTGGATCGTGTGGTGTGGTGAGCTCTTTTGATTTATGAGAGCGAGAGCGATTAACAGCCAGAGGGAGCAGCTCATTTCAAGAAATCTTTGAAATAAAGTTTATTCATTTGAAGTTGAATTATTTCTAAGGTCGTCAAATTATAAAAGAGTTGTGAAAACACCCGTTTATCTTTTTGATTTTCAAATTATAACTAAAGAACAAGGAAACATCTGAAAGAGAGGATGAGAATCTAAAGTTTAATAAGAGAGAGTCTTCTTATCAGAGTTCATGTGCATGGATACAAAGCAGCAGCGATGCAGTAGTAAGGGATGATGGAACAGCAGATATTAGTAGTTTAGTAGCTTTAAACGTTTAGTAAATTGGGTTTAGTACATCAAAATCAACTCAAAATATTAGTAGACAAACAATTTATTCCTTCTTCATACTATTGCGTTATTTAAACCAAAATTACGTAGATCAATCCAACAGGTAGAACTATTATGTCAATTGTGTCAAGTTTTATTTAAAGTGTAGAAATTAAAACGTCAACATCTGGCAATGACAATGAACCAATTTACCCTCCTGCTGTACACTGTACCAAAACATCATCATCGAATGAAACCTCAGACCATTCAACCGGGTGACGGTTGTTTTGTGATCAGATGCTTCTCTCAATAAACATTGATGTACGAACATAGGTAAAGCGTACGAACATAGGTAAAGCATGCAAACCAAAGATTGTCTATTTCTTGGTCGAAGAAGTTTGGAACTCGGGTCTAATTTAGAAACATTATTTTCAAATGTTTTGTTCCTCAGGACAGAGAATCGTTTTTTAATTTGTTTTTGTAGATCCCGCCAGATAACTTTCATGGCAGGATCGCTTGTTCTTTGATATTGTCTCCTACGGACATTTTTAAGACGGATCAAGAGCTGAAGATCGTCGTCTATTATAATTGAATCGAATTTAACCTCGCATTTTGGTACTGAGGCAGCTCTTGCTTCAACTATAGAAGTAGTCAGAGATTCAAGAGCATAATTAATTTCATCTTTGGTTTGCAAAGGAATGTTTGGATCGAAGTTATATTCCATAAATGTTCGATATTGCTCCCAATCAGCTCTATGGTAATTGAAAGTAGAGCTGTTGGGATTAGAAATTATTTCTTGGGATATTTCAAAAGTTACTGGAAGGTGATCAGAACCGAAGTCAGTATGGGTAACCAATTGGCTACAAAGTTGACATGAATCAGTTAAGACAAAATCAATAGCGGAGCGATTTCTTGCAGAAGAAAAGCATGTTGGGCTGTTTGGATATTGAATAGTGTAATAACCTGCAGAACAATCATCAAACAGAATATTACCATTGGAATTGCTTTGAGCATTATTCCATGAGCGGTGTTTTGCATTAAAATCACCAATAATGAAGAATTTAGACCTATGACGGGTAAGTTTCTGGAGGTCACCCTTGAGAAAATTCTTTTGCTGGCCTACGCATTGGAATGGCAAATAGGCAGCTATAAACGTAAGTTGTCCAAATTTTGTTTCAACAGAAACTCCCAAGACGATCATTTCTATAAATTAAACAATTCGAGTCCTTCTTAACCTTATGGCCAGGTTTAAGGAACGTTTCAGTTATAACGGCAATATGCACGTTATGAACTCTCAAAAAGTTAAATAGCTCGTCTTTATTATCTTTAAGAGATCGAGCATTCCAATTTAAAATATTTAAAGCTTTAAAATCCATTACTGAATTTTAAAATCATGACAATATTATTAGCAAATTTTACTCCAGTTTGAATAGCATCAAACATGGAGTTAGATTTAAGCATATCAGAAATCATGTCAATTAATGAATTCTGTAAAAATTCCATTTTAGGGTCAGTAATGCTTCCTAAGTCAAAATTGTCAAAATTTCCGTTAGAACATTGGTTAGTATTTTGATTTCTACCCGTTGCAATAGCAGCATAGGTAGCTCCATTAACTCGCTGAACATTGTTAGCAGCGAGGGGAGTAGGTACAGATGAATCATTTGAAGCTACGGGTACGAATGTAGAGGGGAGTAGGTACAGATGAATCATTTGAAGCTACGGGTACGAATGTAGAATTTGTTCCTCGCTGACCGTTGGTAGCAGCAGAGGAAGTTGTACCTCTTCGGAAACGTGAAGCGTTCCCTACCTGTCGTTTAGAACGAGATTGTAGAATCGCTTTGCGAGTCTTACATTCCCAAAAATTGGATTTGTGGTTTTCACCACAATTTGAACATTTAATTCAAAGTGTTTTTTATGTTACTTCATACGCGAAGTTAACGATTTTCAGAGTTGGTTGGAAATGCTAACATGAAGCTTTAGTGTGATGATTTATTAGCTAGAGAATGATCTTTAGAAGAGGGTAGGTGGATAGTTCCGTTAGAGTACGGCAGTATGAAAATTGAATAGAAGTTGAAAATGAGCGAAGGGCCATTCTTTAACTTCGTTAACTTCGCGTATGAAGTAACATAAAAAAAACACTTTGAATGTAACAACTCAAGGCGGGAGTAGCCGTCAACAATGCTGATGATGGTACAGCACGCAACAACCACCCTACTGCTTTCTCTCTGAGATGATCACGTTGGTCATGACGAGAGGAGCAACACAATAGTTGGGTAAAGAAGAACTGCATTATAACACACCATCGACTGGAAATGCTCTCGCAAACGTGGGGCTTTAGGTAGTGATGAAAAACGTCGCTAGAACTATTCCACAGCCGCAGTCAGTTTATGAGCAACAAGAGGGACGCACATTTTTGCCTGTGGACTTGGAGACATACTTCAAGTCCCCGCGTACATCGTACGGGCTAGGCAAAAATGTGCGTCTATCTTGTAAAACTGTCGCTTTAATGGCCCTTCGGTCATTTTCAACTTCTATTCAATTTTCATACTGCCGTACTCTAACGGAACTATCCACCTACCCTCTTCTAAAGATCATTCTCTAGCTAATAAATCATCACACTAAAGCTTCATGTTAGCATTTTCAACCAACTTTGAACATTTAAATTTCTTAGGATCTTCCTTCACAGGACAGTCGTCCTTTGCGTGAGAGGAATCACCACAGTTCATGCATTTAGCTGGCATGTAGCAATGTTTAGTTCCGTGACCCCATCCCTGGCACTTACGGCACTGGGTGAGGTTTTGGAAATTTCCTCCAGTCTTCCTGAAGTGTTCCCACTTCACTCGGACATGGAGCATAAGGCTAGCTTTTTCTAAGGCCTTAAGGTTGTTTAGTTCACTAGACTTGAAGTGAACTAAATAAAAATCATTAGAAATCCCGTTGCGCGAATCGCCAGGACGGGATTTCATTTTCATTTTGATTACTTGGAGTGGCACAACTCCAAGCAATTTTGCCAGTTCATCTTTGATCTGATCCAGGGATTCACCACTGGGCAGTCCTTTCATGACAACCTTGAACACACGTTCAGTTTTGGTGTCGTAAGTAAAAAATGTGTGCTTCTTCTCAGTAAGATACTTGAGAAGACATTTAAATCCGTCCAAGGTTTCAGCCAATACACGACATTCACCCCGACGTCCAATTTGTAGTGAAAACTTAACTTTCACGAAATTCGGAAGTGGTTATCACAATAGGGGGAATCTTTTCCTGCTTGGCATTAAGCCGGAAAAGTTTACTATAATTTTTCTAGGATGATCTAGGATCATTCTCATCATCCGTGAGCAAATCAAATTGATTACTCAAATTAATTTCATCAGAAGGGGGGTCAAGAGTTTGCCCCTTTCTTTTGCGTTTAGGCGCCATGGCGGCAGTAAATTTTTATCCAAATCGACTTCCAAGCAGATTACTATAAGAATCTGAAGGATCGAAGAAGAATTTTCCAAATCGATATCCAAGAAGGATTACCTCGGGTAGGGTCCAAACAAGGATCGAAGAGGAATAAGAGTTGAAACAGGTAGAAATTTTTTACAGGGTGAGCACTGAAAAGTGCTGTTTAAATTTGTTGTAGCTTTAGGTAGTAGTAACACTTCCTTAAGGGGTTAGGCCTACCTGCAAATTTTAAAAAAAAATCGAGTTTTTTACTGTCCTAATCGAAAGTATATAAAGTCAAGAATATTTCCTCAAAAGATCAAGTTGATCCGATGAAAATTGTGAAAGTTATGCGACGTACAAAAATATTCACTTATAGTGGACTAAACCCAACTTGAAACTTTAAACGCGATTATCTCGGAATCATATTTTCAAAACCGGTGCCAAAAATTTCTCGAAAT